CCTGGAATCATCCCCAGAACACCATGTTTTCTTTCACTGTCCTGAAAGCCAGTACTTGTTCTGGCTTTCTGGCATTTGCCTCACTGTTTCAAAACACAGTAAGGTGTGGGAGGGAGACATGGAAAGCTGCAGGGTGTTTCTGAGTGCCCATGTGGCAAATGGACAAACTCATAACCTCCATCCACTTGCCTGAAGGTGATTCACAGAGTCATGACAATTTACTTCTATCAGTCAGTCTAGGGGGATGTTGTGGTTTCAAAAACCAAAAGCCAAAACCAGCACAGGGGAAAGCAGAATCATTGCTACCTTTGGATGCTGGCCCTTTCCCTGCTTTGCTGTGGCTATCAATTCAATACTAGAGGTCACTTGAGGAGGACTATAATCTAACCTCTGCTGTCTACATCAGTGTCTGCATACCTGGACAGAGGGAGACCCATTGGTGACAGAACATCCTGACTGACACGTAATCTGAGAGCAGCTAAGAGGAAAACGCCAGCAGTTAACGAGCCCTGGAATGACTGATGGAGTGACAGTCCAGACATCCAGGTTAAGCCCTTCATTTTACCCTGAGCAAATCATTCAACTCCTCTGCAAAATAGGGCTAATGGCATTCTTCTGCTCTGTCATGCTCATGAAGCCCGATGCCTAAAGAAGTGTTTGGAAAGCCTCAGTGGAAGCACAGCAGAGTAATTTCAACATGCTCTGTAGCCATGCACAGGGAAAAGGCCTTCCCTTCAGGCACAGCAGCGCTGAGAACCAGCACTGCAGGTTCACTCATCAACTCCCAGATGCTTCCAAGAAGATTTCTAGCCTAGAGGAGCCCAAGGTGAGAGCACAAAAATGACCCTTTCCTTCAGCAGTCCCAGTAGATAGTGTCTAATGATGAAACCTAGGCAGCAACTACATCCTGCACCATCCACTCCATGCACTTCAACAACCGTGGCTTCAGTTTAACTGGTGGCTTCTTTTCACAGCATTGGAAATGTTCCTTTTCTTGAAATGCAGATGTTCTCACTGTTCCCTGCAGCATCACCTCCTATTTCATGACAACATTAAATAGCATGTGCACACACAATGGTGGCAGAGGTGCCTTAATCCTTTACATCCTAAGTGTCTTTGGAATTGCTCTATGTCCCCTGCTAGCCCTCATTTTCCCATCCTAAGTCTTTTAAGTCATAGCTGCACTGCCACAAGCCTGGTGAGGGAAGCCAGCACCCTACTCCTCTTCTATAAGCCTAAGCCATGCCTCAGGTTATGAGGCTGGGGTGTTTCAGTTTTTCAAGCCTTGTATTCTTCCCTAGGCTCAGAGTCTACAGGAAAACACATTTGCTGGAATTCTATTCTCTATTACTTTTCTGCACATCCTGGAGTTTGAATTGGCAGCATAATGAGTTTTCTGAAATCATTTAGTGTGTTTGCCATTTCATTCTTAGCATGCCCACACGAATCACACAGGGACAGAAATCAGGGGGCTTTTTTCCTTATTAAAGAAGAAAGTTTACCGTTTTCATGCTTCATGAAAAACCTGCGCAGAACACTCTGGAAAACTATTGGCACAATATTTGGAGAACAAAAATAGCTCAAATTTGAACTTCCTGGAATATCACAAAGGCTGTATTTGGTAGGGGCTTACAGAGAGGGCATGTTGTTTCTGGCATGATGAAGGGATCAGACGTTCCTGTTAGAACAATTCTGTTAATGCTACTGGCATATTATTGCTACTAACCATCTGTTGGCACATAGGATAGGTAGCTTTTAAAATAATCCCAAATACCTACCTTCAGCTTCAGGGATCTTGCTCATCTTACACCAGTTTTGAAGGAAGGCTCAGATTCTTTCATAAATAGATGCAGCTCTGTGAAGTCAAGGAGAATTGTAATTCCTTATATTTAGCTTTGAAAAGATTGCATATGATATGGCATAACTTACAAAGGTTGGGTCAGTTTTCCACACTTGCTCTCACACCTTTTACTTGGTTCCTGGTCTGCTTAAATGCAAATTAGCTGTGGAGTTACTTGTGTTTTATATCAGGGTTAGCAAGGTCTCCTTGAAATCATAGAAACCAATGATATAGGAGAAAATAGGCCTAATGCCTTTCCTACTCTGCCCCCTTTTGCAAGGCACATCCAGGAATGCCAGGTTCCATGGCATTTATTTGTGCACAGACCTAATTCTGAGTTTGCCTACGGGAACTGTCACTTAGGTCAGGCTGCATTTGATAGGGCTTGCCCAGTTCCCAGTTTTGGAAAACTTCCATTCTAACTACTTGGCCCTGTACCTGTCTCAGGTTTCTATATTAAGGAGTTTAGCTATTTCCACTTCAAAGTCTCTGTTTATTTATATCTTTTTAATACTGAGCCACAAATAGTGCTGAGCACTGACACCTCCCAAACTCTGCTCTTGGGAACCTGTCAAACAAGTGTTGCATGAAAAAGATAACTTCATATTTACTTAACTCCTTCAATGCTCAGGGCAAATGTCTTGAATTTAGATGGGAAAAGATGGGTGATAACAAACCTGCAGTGAAGGAATAATTAAAAAAAAATGGTAGTGACTTGCATGATGCCCTGATCTTGATGTAGGCAGATCTTTCTTAAGTAACCAAGCTTAAACCCAGCATTTACTCTCTTGCTCTGATTCTCATTTGTAGAATTGGGAACAGCTTACATCACTTTACCTTACTGGGGGCAGAGGAAGCAAGGATAAATTCAACAAGCAATACAACAGTGTGTTAGGGGGCATACAAATAGTAGTAGGAGAAGTTCTGACAAAGATACCACATTTGTCCAGGCTTATAAAACAACTGAGTTCAAGAAAATTAGATACTCCCTGGCTCTTCTCAAGGCACAAACAACACAGAATCATAGAATGATTTGGAAGGGACCTTAAAGACCATTTAGTTCCAACCCCCTTTGGATACCTTTGACTAGATCAGGTTGTTCAAAGCCCCATCCAACATGATCTAACTCGACCTTAGATTTCCCACTGCCAAGAGCTGAAATAACAAGCTGTGTGCTCCTTTTTTCCCCCCCAGATTAGCAAGACCTACAGTGATAGAACAGGTAACTGCAAGTGAGAGGAAGAATGACAGATCAGTATGTATAATTATTCCTTTCTTTCTTGAGGATGCTCAGAAAAAATCTTATTTATCTAATAAAAATTATCTAATAAATTTAGGACTGAAACTAGGGCTGAATGCTTTACTAAAAGGAGAAAAAAAAAGGGGGGGGGGGAACCCCAACAAAATAGAGTGTGCAATGTAGCAGCAGCTCATCCAGAGCTGCAGTGCTGAACATGGCACCACACTGAAAACAGCTGTTTTTAAAGGGATTCTGGCACAGCGTGAGCTCCTTCTCTATGAAAGTCTTTCCCATGCTGTGCCAAAACTGCAGCCGTGCTGGGTTACGGGGTGCCTACGCTTTTCCTGCCACGAGGGGGACTCCAGGGCTTTCACCCTCACTGAGAAACAAGGGGCACACAGCAGAGTACTTTAAAATGGCTGGTACTTCTCCAGATAGACCTACTGCCCTCCCGTGGCTGCCAAGGAGCATCTCTGATGCAGAAACAGGGAGCCCAGGGATTGAGGAAAACAAATAACAAATATATTCAATTTAAACCAAAACCCAAGTTACAAGGAATAGGAAAGCAAATACAGTGTGATTGACTAGAAGCACCTACGAAGGCAAGAATGAAGCAGGGAAATTTATTGGTTTGGGAGTAACAGGGAGAAGTCCAACTACTTTTGCAAGGACAGTGAGCCTCAAGATATTCTTCACCAGAGTACATCAGAGAGTGCCATTTGCTCAGACAGATGGTCCATCTAACTTCATCCGACTGCCTCACAGAGAATACTCCACTAGCAACAGTGCAAAGAAGGTATGGGAGAGCAGACCACTGCTCCTTTGTCTGACTGTAGTATACAGGTGCTACAACCTTGCTGTATATACTAATCCTCGTTGGCACAGCTTCAGCAGTGTTTATAAAGCTCTTTCTGAAACACCTCGTAGTGCAAATGTGTCCTTTTCTCTCACTGAACCAGGAGACAACATTTCTACCACAGATTAGCTTCTGAGGGCCTTCTCTTAAGAGCCTGAAGTTAGGTTTTATGAATGAGACCTTGAGTACCCGATGAGAACTGCATGGTTCTGCAAGGAGTGTCTTGTTTCTTACACTTTCTTTATGGCTGTGCTGCTTCTTGTGCACCATCTGTGGGCAAAGTACATCTCCAGTCTTTGATGCACCGCAGACACTTCAAACACAATAATCCTGGGACAATCAAAACCAAAAGCAATAGTGAAGTTGCTTTTGGAGGCAAGAGAAAACACAGCAATAAGCACAAGCAGCAACTCCGTGCTCAGAGGGTGAAAAGGCCAAAGTGGTTCAATTGCACACGCTTCTAACAAAGGCACTGAATGCTGCAAGGAGGCCATGTACCTCCCAGCAATGAAAAATTACATTGGGGATTTGCATTAGGCACCATTTCTGTTCATGGACTTGGCTTCATCTTAAAAACTGGTGTATGCTTAAGCTATATTTGAGATTAGATGCAATGAAACACTCATTTTAGACTGGAGAGGAGGAGGGAATGTGACCAGAATCATGTAGGAAAATGCCAACGCATGGCCCTTCCTATAGGACTTCAGGCTGTTGAGTGACACCAGCATCAAGAAGGGCATCACCCCAGCCTACCTGTGCTTTTTCAGGGATGTGCATCAGTGGGAGTATTGGGATTTCTTCAGGGTGACAGAGACTGCAGTTCACCAGAGCATGCAGCAAGTAGAAATTGGTGAGTGAACACAACAGACAGACAAATGTTTTCCTCCTTCAAGTTGCCAGGTCACTGAGTCAGTATCTCATGTAGCAGCCAACTACTAAGTAAAGTAAATCCTGTCCCCTCCATTTTCACAGCTTAGGCCATGCTGTACAACATTAACATCACCAACAAAACTTTGCTTTAGGCACATGTGAAAATGTCCACAGAGAAGAGACATCACTCAATGTCATTTTAAAATTTGCATGTATTTGTGTATATACACACACAAACACACACATATATATATATTTGTAGTAAATACATATGAACTTCTACACAATTATAACCACTCCAGTATATTCATGCTGTCACTCACCAGGACAATACATTCTGTTGCACTGACATAATCTCTTGCTTGGTTACCTTTTGAATTGCTCAGTGAAAGGCCAGTCTTTGGCAAGTAGATATCTGCAGAAAACCACCAGCTCCAGCAGTGATCCTTCAATATTTGAAGGTTCCCCTCCCAGTTTCCTTCAAGTATCAGCTCTGCTTTCATAGAAATAAATTGTTTCTAACAATATGCTACAACCCTGATAAGCCAAGCAGGATATTTCTCCCAGCACATACAAATATTTCACATCCTCTCTACACCATGCAATGCAAAAAGTGAAATCATGTTTGCCAGTGATTGTAATCCAATTTGGCCCCATAACTTAGTTAAAAAGAACAAACACAAACAAACAAATAGAAAAAACAACTCTCACATAAACCTTAAAAATCAGCAGGCAGAAGTCTACTGATTTACGTTTCCAAAGGAAATACCTTTTAGTAATAGTTAACTCTGTCTGCAGCTGTTAAGTCCAAATTTTGCAAATGTAGGAAATGAGGACAGAAAACTAACAGAGAGGAAGAATTACTTATTGTCCAGGCTGAGACACACACACACAACTCGTAAAAACCCTTACGTCCTTCTTAAAAATCAGTTTGAATCCCCTGCATGATGTCCTTATTAAATATCAAAGTAGATTAGCTGGAACAAGTTTATTAGAAAAAGGTACTACATCAAAAATGTGTAATTCAAAGCCTTATCTAAAAAGTTTTTCAGAGATAAAGTTCTCCATCTCTCACTGATGTTGCATTATTCACAAAATCTTGTGTTACATATTCTGACATTGATCAGCTGTCAAAGAAAAAAAAGCTTGTTTGCATAACAAACACTCAAGTAAAAAGGAAAGGAGAAAATCACAGAACTTGGCTATTACTGAAAAACTGACTCTCAGAGTAGAAATAAAGTCATTTTCAAAGGTGGAGAAAACATAAAGGTTAAGTCAGACCTATATATTTTTTACTGGCACCAAGCACCAATTTTTTTAATGAACTCACTTGAGTGTGTGTAACTATTTCTAGAAGTAATGTAACAGCAGATTAAAGTTTGCACCCCGATATTTTGATACAAACTATGACAGGATATTTCCAAAAGAGTCCCTTTGACAGTAAATAGCTATTTTAAAACTTGTAATGAAAAAGAAAGTCTTTAAACAGTACAAAAACCTAGGCAAACCAAGCCTCAATCACTGTAAGAGGGGGACCTCTTCATAAAGGGAAGGTAATTCCTCCTTTGGAGTAGTTACAACAATGCACAGAAATGAGACCAGAAACACACACAATGAGTTACAGGTCTGATTTACTGGAGTTGTTCAGTCATTTCCACCTTAGGGTAATTTGAGGATTCCAGTATGGACCCAGAAAAACATTTAAAAAAAAAAAAAAAAACCTTGGGAGGAGAGAGCAGAAAAGTATCTGTTTTCCCACGCTGAGGATCTGATGTGCTGGAATGGGCAGCTCCACCTCCATTAGCTGTTGGCTACAGTGAGGGATGCATCCCACCACTGACACCCAGTCTAGATCCATCATGGCTTGCTATGTCTAACTAAGGTCAGAATAAATAGGCATTTGGGGCAATTTCAACAGATATTGTGTGCACAGCAGCCAACTTACAGAGTTCAGCCTCACTGCTCTAGTGCTCACACGCTGCTCTGTTCTGTGCATGTTGCCTGCTCTGCTTTTCTGATTACTTCAAGCTCGTGTTTGCACAACACCTCAAATGTATGAAAACTCAGAAATTCCACAGCACAGTTAAAGTTGTCTGCAATTCCAGGGCTAAAACACCTTAGCTTCTGGAAGATCAGACCCCTCACCTCTCTAGTGTCCCATTCTACATACAGGTTTCTGTGCTCACAACAGCCACTGTGCATATCAAATAACATAAAAGTAACACTCTGACATCAGCAAGGAGCCAGGCTTTTCACCAAGAATCCTGTGAAAAATCTCAGTTTAACAGATAACTATTAGATTTTTAGTACACAGCATGTCACAGAATTAGTGTTTTCCTTACAAATATATGGCACTACGTGTAAAAACTTTATGACCTATTCCAAACAGTGTACCATACTTCACAGCAAAGCTTGAAAAAGAATCCTCTAACTCCCACTTCTTCTAAATATACAGCTGGTGGGAGGCCAGGGTGTCCATGAATGGTCGCACAAGGTTGTCTGTCGAGAAGTAAAAGATCAAGCCAAAGGTGATGGAGATGGGAAGAGCAGGCAGTGCCTTCTTAAAAACAGCTAGTAATAAAAGTGTTAAGCATAAACCCTGTAAGAGAAAAGAAAATAAAAAACACAAAGACATACAGTAAGATGACCAGAAACGTATCTCCCACCAACAACCCAATATACAGATAATCAGCTACGTGCACTGTACAGCACTGGAGCCTGCCTGAGCTACCAGTGGTATGATGTATATTTGCCCACAGCTTCATCTTTTACACAGGTTGGCCAGGTTTTTCCTCAGCAATCTTGAGCACATCTCTCTGCTGAGACAGTGGTATAAACAGCCAATGCTGACATACAGCTGACCCCAAGAGGTTAACTTATTTAAAGATTATTTTGCTTTTTGTTCTGTGCCATTATGTATGAAGTACTGGCTCAGCAGACAAAAGCTCTTAAATCCTGCTAAACTCCAGACAGAAGCTTCACTGAAGGACTCTAATACACTCTAATATAAGCAGATGTGCTTACAACATCTTCCCAGTTTACAAGGCCTCTTGGTGTAAAAAAAGAAAGAAAAACAAAATAAACCAAACCAACCCAAATATCCACTGCTGTTCTTTTGACTGGATTGCTTACTACAATAGGTGAATTCTGGTTTAATCTGGATAGGAGAACAAGCTCTGTTTTCTGGAGCATGTGTGGAAGCTGTTGTACATTTTGGGTAGACAGTAAGGCTTAGTGCGTTTACATATCAGTTCCTTCTCTCACCAAAGCCCTTTTTTATTCCTCCATGATGACAAACCTTCAAAGACACTAGGCTCCAAAAATACCCACTAGCTAAAGATCAGCAGACAGGATTTTCTAATCATTTTTTATAACTGTTTATAGGCTACAAGTTTGTTTACAATCCACCTGAGCCTGTGGCTCTGCTCTTATACTCTTAGGGAACATATCTGGCCTAGATCTGCTCCTTAGTTCATATCTACCTTTAAAGATGTGCTTACTGCTGAGGCACTGGAGGGACATTTTTGGGGAACCAGAAAGCCACACAGCAGCAAGATTATGAAACTGCAAAAGGAGACAGAACGAATTTTAAGTCTGTAAAAGACACAGACTGGGGCATTTGGCCTCATGGACAGACAAGCAAGAACATTTCCCCAGTGCTGGACCCCAGGATATGGAGGTAGGTGATCCTATAGGTTTCTCTGACCTGTGGGGTAGGAAAGCTACACTCAACACACTTTATTTAAGGTATCTCATTTCTAACTCTCATGCTCTTTGATCCACAGTCTTCACAAGTGAAAGTCACTTTCACTATCCTTAGGATCTTACTGGGGAAACAGCAGGCCGAGACACGATAATTGATTTTCTCTTACATTCTAAAAATCCTGCCTTTCTCATTGTTAGTTTCCATGAGGATGCTGATTAAATAGCAAGTGCATAGTAATCATTTTCTACCTAGGTGAAAGCTTGACAGTGTGTGGTCATTAGACCTGGCAGGACCTACTCCTTTAGCAGTTACAGTATGTTTGTCTTCTGCTTTTACTGATAATTTCCATGGATTTAAGTCTCCTTCCTTTCCATTTTTTCCAAATACTAGAATAAGATAGGTCTTCATCCTCTTACTAGCAGCTCCCCTTAGCACAAGGGAGTTAACCTTTTCAACTATATTTGCTAATCAATGTAGTGTTTGTAATATTGACTCTTGTGGCTGATAAAAGTCCCCAGTTGTTTAATGCTGAAGCAAACACACCAACAGTTCAGCTGCAACTGTTTTTCCTGGGGCTGTTTCACCCCCTTCATCACTTGGCTCTGCTCTGATGAGTCTGTATTGTTCAGCTTCAGTGGCTGTTTAAAGCCTGTCTTTATACACAGAGCACTGGGTGGTTTCTCCTAAATATCTAGCATGTTACCTGCAGTGATTTAGCAGTGCTCAGCTGCTGGTACTTCTGGCAACACTCCTGTGCTAAACAGGGTGTAACAGAGCTTTTAAAAGCCTGCTCACTTACTATGAGAATGGCTACAAAGCAGGCAAGCGTAGTATTCCAGTCTCCACTAGCTGTGGCAGCTGCTTTCCCAACAAGCACACTGTAAAATATGAAGTCTCCAAGGCCCAGCTTCACGCCCCCTGAAAGAAGTCGAAAAAGAAAACAAGTATTAATTTTGAGCCTCCTGTTTTGCTTCCTCTGGAACAAATTCTTGTCCCCTGGAAAGCAGGTGAAGGTTCCTAGTCCTGGCTACCAGCCTGGACCCACACATTTCAGAGGAGGCTGAGACTTCCAGCCCTGCCTCCCGCTAACTGTTTTTCCTCAGCCTCGTTCTCTGAGATGCTTCCCTGGGCTGCGTTATAATGTACTGCCTGAGGAAGCACAAAGACAGAGAGGGATAGGAGGCAAGGGGAAGAAGGAACTGTTCAAATTGTACACATAGGCAAGAGATGTCACTGGAACTACAATCCCAGAACAGATTCTGCAGCAGCAAGAAGTAATACACAGTCAGACTCAAGATCTTTGTTGTTCAAACAAGTCACAGCTCTTCAAATTACCTGTCATTAGTCCAAACTGGGTAAGAGAGCACTAACCACAAAGAGTACAAATGTCAGGCTCTGACTAGACTGAAAACAAGGTATAAAGCTTCTCTTACTTTCCTCCTCCTCGAGCTCCTCTAAAGAAGTGATGGGGCGAGTTGGAACAGGACTCCTCGTCTCTGACATCTGAGAGTCTGCATGTGAAGGGCTCCTGTGGTGTTCTCTCCCATCCTCAGCTTGGTTCCACAAAAATAGGCCAAGAAGAGCATACCAACAAGAAGAAACACAAGAGGTAGCTACATTTATAACTTGTTTTAGTGGATGAAATCCACACTTCTGTGAAGCTGCCCTGGAATGGGTAAGCCCTTTGTTTCTTGGAGGTGTGATCATCACAACCAGTTCAAGCAGAGACATTAAGTGGCTTTGAGGAAAACAGGTTATTATTTGTAACAGTTGGAAGGGTACGTGTTCACAGCTTCTTTGGCAGCCACCCAAAGTTCAATGGGTAACCAAGCGAGCACGTACACAGACCTAAGCATTGCCCTGCACAGGCTACAATGACAAGTAAAGCCAAGTAAAGTTAATATGCATTCCCACATTGTTATACCTTTGGGGTGGAGGTGCTCAGGTATTCCCTAACTGGCCATATGACAAAAATCGATGACTAAGAGGACTGCCATTTATGAGGAAAAGTCCTGCCCTGATCACATTGACATTGGAGCTGCATGTTCACATATAAAAAGCAGACACATTTCATTGTTCACAGATTTAATTTCCCCTCCCCGTTTAAAACACATCTGACTGAGCTCTTGATAGTGCTTTTCGAAGCAGCCAGGCTGTGATCCATGATTCTATCTGACAGTTCTTATTTTTCAGAAGTTCATACAAACTCTCCAGTCCACATCAGTCTGACAGGATGCTGCTGCTGCCACAGAGGTATTCTGTACACCTCAGCATGTAGTTTGCTCTGGGCCCAGTTTCAAAGCAGGATTGTGGCCTTGCCATTGCTTAGTTTGTTGGCTGCTTTATCCTGAAATAAGTGGCATGTTCAGTTATCAAACCTTTGCATACATTTATTGCTTTAACATTAAAAGGTACTGTCATCTCTGAAGTTCTGCAATTAACAACACTGGAAAAAATGCATCTGTGAGGATCCAGGGCCTTAACTCGCAGTCTCAAACATAGACATTATTTCCATGGGGCAGTGCTCTGTATAGAAGAGGGACATGCAAACAAACCTGTATCCCATGTCTGCTGACTTGATCCTCTTGCTGCTGTGTCTGGCTTTGCCATTCCAACTGTCCACATCATAGCAGCTAGAAGAAAGAGAGAAAGTAATCAGCTGCATAAATCATTGGTCACTATAGCCCAGAGGAAATAAGTATTTAGCTGTCCCTAAAAATACCAATCTTTGTCCTTGTAAATGCATTTAAAACACTCACTCTTAGCTGGTTTCCTCAGGCACTGAGAAGGCAAGGTGGGAGAAAAAGAAGGCAATGCATCCATTCAGTTTTTAAGAAGGTCCCAGAGCACAAATAGCTAAGAGTCAGTATAGTCTTCTCTATGGGCTAAGGAAAGCAAAATTCCAAAACTAGGGTCTTCATGTCCTTTGTTTTCTTCTGGGTTTCTGGTTTTTCTCTTCAGAGGACAGATTTTCCCAGGAAATGATGGTAGTACAAAAGGTAACCAGAGGTTAACTTAACAGCTTACTCATGTTCTGCTAGAGGTACAGCACACAAGTGAGGGATATGCAGGAGTTGTCACAGTGCTAGTTTTCTCTCTGCCTGTTTGTTTTGTTTCCATCCTGTCAAATATTGCCTATTTCTGTTTTGGTTCCAATAACAACTGAAGGACGCTTGGGAATTTATTCTTGAGATGGATCCCTAAATTAAAAAGGAATACAAACCATTCCAAAATCAGTGGAAGGAAACTCAAATTATCTGTTTATTTAAGTGTGCATCAGTCTTCCTGTTTTTACAGAAGCTAAACTAAACAAATTAAGCCAAGGCAAACACAGTGCCTGCTTTTCCGCTACAAGCTCAGCCAAGGTGATGCTTTTGCATCTAGAGGGAGCCACAGAATGTGGTCTTGCAAGGGAGACACTGATGTTCTGCACAAGAACTTCTCATTCAGTATTTATGATTTGCTGAACTGCATTCTCCTTTAGAGAAACTCTTTGTTTGTTCACTAAAGCATGTGAAAGACTTCATCTTGAGGTCAGTATAACAATCTCCAGTAAAAGGGAGGGCAGCCGAAGCCAACTGAGGCTCTCCTTGGAACACATAAAAGCATTTATATAACATTAAATGCTTGGGGAAAAAAAAAATCAATCAGGTTGTAGACATCCTCAGCTTAGCACTGAACATGGAAACACTCATTCATCTTACAAGTGATGTAATGAAAAGTCACTGAGGTCCACGAAGCACCTGAGTCCACGTCCAATGAGCATTGAGTCTCCTGCTTTGACTACCTTAACCTTAAGCACATATATACCTTTGTGGATGAGGGCACCAGACACCATGGTAGTTAAACAGCCCAAGAAAACCAGGGAAGAGACGAGGGATTTTGTCTGCAAAGCAATACCTGAACAGAGCCCTTTGCAAAGCAGCCCCATAACTAACAATGAAGCAAAGACATTCTAAGCACTACCATCTGTACAGGACACAGGGCAAGAGGGGAATGCAGGAAGAATGGAGCCTCATCACATGTTTAACATGTGTCTGTAAAGCTTACCCACAAGGCATAAGTTATTGAGTTAGCTTCACCTAACCACAGAACCTTGCAAACACAACTGCCCACCTTACACATGTTTTTGTATGCAGAAAAAAGGGGCATGTTCTGCACTGTATTCATTAAAGGATGAATCTTCTGAACATTTCAGCTCCACAAGGCAAATGTGGGCTTCCTTTGGCTAATTAGAGTTGGCACTATTGTAACTGATAAACAAGGCCTTCTAAAATGATCTGTTCCAAAATATAAATGTGTACCAATCTTAGGGCAAGGAAATCACTAAAATAGTGCTCTTTGGTTTGACAGAGAAATAGTTTAATAGAGTTTAATCTGGCTAAAAACATTAACATTCTAATCTTACTCACAGGAATATATTAATGCAGGGAAAATTGGCTCATTTCTCTCCTGTGCAGTTTCTACCAGCATTCTCAGTGGCCCCTTGGGACAGAGAACAGCCATCAGATCTGCAAAAAGAAAAGGGCCAGTCAATCTTATCCTATACTATCATACATATTTTACATTCTTTATATTTAAAAAGGCATTCTCCCCTCAAAATAACATATATCAATATTAACTGGATGATTTCTTGAATGGCAGTTTCCACCACTTTGCATAACTCTAGCTGTTCTAGTTCCTGAAAATGTTGTTCACTTAAAATACCATCTCCAAACCTTAATGTAATAATAGGAGTTTTCATTGTGCTAATACTATAAAAAGCCTCTTGAGAAGATCACATTATTTCTTTGAAAGCAGATGACAGCACTTCATTGAGGTGTTAAATTTAATTAGTGGAGGAGGAGTGGGGGTACTTTGTTCACATTCCACAATCCATGACTACATACACTGGCTCTGTGTATCACATGAATGAAGGCCTCTGGTCCAGTACCTCTTTGCCTACTCTCTCTCCTCCATCAGATCTCTGCTCCAATCTGAATGTTACTTCCTGGATCCCTCTTGTTCTGCAGGCCTCATACCAAAATCTCCGATTCCTCGATAACAGTAAATAAAACCTGCAAGACTATCAGGTTGCTACTGATAAAAATCCAACCACCCCTACCATGCAGTTAGGTGTGGTTCAGTACTTCCCTGACTTGGTGATCCACTTTGAAAGACCTGGTAGGAGTACACTACCTACACAGCCAAGTTAGCAAGAGACAAACTAGGGAGTCCACTTAATTGCCCATTTGCCTCTTTCTAAAGCTGGTAGCACCATAAAGCTGTTTTTCAATGACATACACAGTCCTGAGATTGCTTCAGAGTGACCTTTCCAGGAGCCACACCTTGAGAGTCACAACCCAGACTTACCATAGATGGAGATTGCACCTAGAATCACCCATGCTGACCACTCAGGTAGATATTTAATGAAAACCAATGCCATTAGAGCACTGATCATAATGAGATATGCTTGCTGGAGCTGCAAGGGACCTTTCCAGTGGATGCAAATCATTCCAACAGCTCCAAAATTCCAGATGACTAAGAACAGAGTGGGGTAATCCATGGCCACATTGTAGGTCTTCAATACTTCACTGAAACACAACAAGAAAATATAGCTAAGCAATAAAAGCAACTGACATGTAAAGCATCCTAGTAGCTGTAGTTAAACAAACAAGCCCCCAACTACACCAGGAGGAAGCAGAATAGAAGCAACTCTCAATCATGAAAGGGGAACCTGCCCTGTGGCCAGTTGCTGCTCTGAGTTTTCTGTTCCTCCTGCATGAGATGGACACCTTGTGTGTGCAGACAAGCACCACACTGTCCTAGTCCCAAGTTCAACAGCGATTCCAAGGATTTGATCAGGCAGGATTTCAAGTTTTAACTGAACACTGGCCTGCAGCTACATGACTCTCTACACCAAAGAAGTCACATAAGTGTCAATCCACCAGATGCATGATGCTCACAATTAAAGATGAAGTGTCACCCACAAGTTAAAAGTCTGAGCTGGGAGCCAAGGGAATGAGCTTGAAACAATGTAGTCTAAGAAAAAGGCAAGACAAATCAGAGAAGCAACTCAGCACATGAAGTTCATCTCCATTTGCTTCTCACTGTATAATTCAGGGCCTCTGTACCATAATGTTCATCCTGTTCATTTCATGCTCACAGTATCACTTCCCAGTGATTTTTTTTACAGTAGGCACTGTAAAATCAGGCATTGCCTAATAAAGACCTCATTTTCCATTTTTTAAAAAAGAAAGCTATCTGATTCTAACGGTCCTAAAACCTCCATTTGGAGAAGGAGAGACATTTCTTTCCTTGTTCAAGCTGGGGACTTTCTGCAAAAAGGTAGAGGAGCCCTGAACTGAGAGGTTACCTGCACCATTCCCACTTACCCAAGATATATGTAGGTAAAGAGGAAGAGCAGCATCAAAGAGGACAGGATCAGCCAGCCATGGATGAACTGTCAAGGGCAAGAAGAGACTGTGATTGTAGGGGCTGTTACCCCTGCACAGGTCACAGTACTGCAGCCTGACAGTCTCCTTCTGCACTCCTGCTCCCATGTCCAAAGACCCTGCCTTTCCCATGGTCAGTCAGGGAGGAGAGGGACAGTCAGTTCCTCCTGGTTCTCCCAAACTCTTTCACTTCATATTCTGTGTCTTAGTGGTTTTGCTGGTTTGGGTTTTTTTGTCTCTTTCCTATGCATTTCCATGGGTATCCATACTTGCTTCTAGCTTAGGTGAGCACATTCTCTCTGCTTGATGGGGAGGATGAGGGGTTTACCCAAGGCTGTAAAATAAATTTATCTTTGGGACAAGTTTACAAAGCAGGAATGGCCAGAGCTTAAATGCTGGGCTGGTACCACCGATTCCCTGGGCACTACAGAACCTGAATGTGCCTTTCCATCCAACCCTAGTGCTCTTCCACCGGAGCTGCTACAGGCAGGAATAATATCAGTTCCCACTGAGGTTGTCTGAAATGTCTTAAGAGAAGGCATTCACAGCAAATAATACAACTTAGTCCATAAGTACAAATGGCAAAATCTTTGGATCAGATGGAGAAAACTCAGACCCAAGTAACACAAAGCAGAAGGCCTCATTTTTAAGAGGCTGCCATTAGTGACTAAATAACAGCGGCGCACATGCAGGGGCACAGCTCTACCACCACTGACAAAGGCTTCAATTTGATACCTGCTATGACTAAGATGTGGATTAGCCAGTGCAGAGCCTATATTTCTCACTGACATGCAAGGCCCACTTGAACTCAAGCTCAGGAATAGGTGGAAAAGGCTCTGTCATGAACACTTTACCTTGTAGCAGCGATATTTATAGAGCAGAACTAGGAACACAGTCATTACAATGATGACACTGATCATTATGATAGTGTTCAACACCGAGTTCAAGAGGCGCTGGCCCACAGACGGGGTATCCTCACTGAAAGGGGTGTAGATCCTGCAGGAGAAAGCAAAAGCCACGTAAAGTATATATATTCTCTTCTAACTAACCACCCCAGATAAAACCAGACCTCTCTGTGTGTGGGAAAGAAAGGGAGGTAGGACTATCAAGGACAGCAAAAACGAGATGTAGCCTCTGAAGGGGCTGAGCTCAAGTTTAATTATCAACTAAAGATTAGTGGTCTCTATCAAAACCACATTCCTACAGAGAAGCTGTGGCTGGCAGAGCTCAAAACAAAAAGGCCTAGAGTATAAGTGACTTTAGTTTAGTAACCGCTCTCCAGGCCATGAATTTTTATTGCATGCTCTGGATCCTCTCCATGATAATTAGGAGGATATATCCCAGGTGCTGTTCTGAAAGGGGGGACACCTTTTCTTTCCACACTTGGTAGGAGAGTCTTGGACTCTTTTACTCCATCTCATCACCCTGCACCCCTTCCCGCCACCCTGCTTTGTTTCCTTTGGTTCAGTTCAAGGGATCACAGTCCTTGTTTCTCCACTCAATGCGTGAAGCACAGTTAGAGCCCCAGGAGACAGGCCCTAGGAGTCAGACACAGTCAGCAAGAGCTGGATGGAATTATGTATCCACACCATGAGTCTTCAGGAACCAGAAATATCACCAGGAAATGAGACACTCATCCAGATGAACATGCTATTCCCTGATTGCTGCCAGCTAGTGAGTGAACAGCCTAGGAGTTCAGCCCGGGCCTTCTATGCTGCAGAACGAAGCAGCTCCACTATCACACTGCTCACAGGTCTCGCTCAGGGCACCCTAAGGACACTGCTAACGAGTCGCTGTTAATGCAGGTATGGGAAAAACTTACACAGGTGAACGCAGCATACTTTAGTAAGCTCTCTGTATGTTTATAGAGCCACCTTTACCCGTGTAAAGGTTCTCCCAGCCTGCCAAGGGAGCGCTATGCGTGCACAGACATGTGTGCACGGAGGTGTGTGTGAAGCTGGGGGTCCCACGTTACTCAGAGGCTGTTTGCAGACCCCACTTACAGCTGCCCGTTTTTCTCCGTATAGAAGCGCACTGACTTTATGGTGGCGACGACAACAATCATACAAAGGGTGACAGGCACAAAGAGCATGATTACATGCTTTGCTCCATATTTCAGAGTCAGTTCCTCCTCTTCATTTTCCGGGGCGCTTTCTCTCACTGGAACACCAGAGCCAGACATTTCTCCACTCGCAATATTGTTTGGGCTACGGCTGCTACCTGCTCGCCTCTTCTGAAAAGAAATATTAGCAAACATATAAGATGCTTATTTTCTCTGTGTTCAAAGCTTTATTCCGTCATATGAGGCTGCTGTAGGCCACCCCAGTATACCAACTGAGTCCTAATAGAACCTAGTACCAACTAGTTATAAAATACCAAATCAACAATACAATAGAAATTCCATTGCAAACAGGTTGCAGCGGAGTTTTTAAACCAAAACCATGAATATCTAAGGGCCTCTTCAAGTGCAAATATATAGAGGGACACATGCACATGAAGGGCAAGATGCCCAGAGCTGAGATAGAAGAAATGTCATCTGAGGTGGCATAAGCTTGACAATTTCCTCCCCCTGCCAGCAATGCTGCGCTTGCTTTACCCTGCTGCTTTGCTGGCAGCTGGACTAGATTCTATTCATTAGCTGCATCAGACCAGAGCAGAAAAAGGTGTCTCGCAAAACAAGAAGGCTAAGAAGGATATCCTGCAAGAGTCATATGTGCATCAGGTCCTGATTAAAAGCCTGTATCTTTACCAAAAGGAAGGAAAAGGGAGGAGGATATACGGAGATAAAAATGGGGGAAAAGTCATAGTGGAGGAAATGGGAACAGGCAGTGCTGCTGCTGCTGGCTGAGAGTGACACCAGGGAAACAACACTGGCCAAAGCCAATCCTAGAAGCCAGTCTGCCAGGAGGGATTGAGGGGTAGCAGGACTACATCTGTCATCACACCCCATGTCCTCACTCCCCAGGATGGACGCACACCTACCCTGTGTGCCTGCACTTCCCCTGTTTCCGAGGCTTGCAGGCCATCCTGGTAGGAGGGTACTGGAGGGCTCTCTGCAGACATCAGGGATGTTCTCTCATTGCAGGGCTCCTCCTCACTGTCCGAATTGTTCATGAATGTGATCATCGCCGCTTTCCTATGGAGCACGAAGGAGGGGCACAGCCAAGCACTACTCAAGGCTGAAGGGACAAGCAGAGCAAAGAAAACAGTGAACACCACAGTGCAAACCATGGAAGTCTGAAAAGGAGGCACAATTTCAGCAGGGAGGCTACAGCACCCCACGTAACTCCATCTTCTCCTAACAGCTGATTTAGTCTGCCATCGCCCCAGCCGTGACAATCCATTCCATTAAAGTCACTGTGACTTCTGCAGTCAGGGACATCAGCAAAATGCAGCACTGAAGAAACCTAGTACTTTTTCTTTGCCATAGCCTTTGCAGTTGCTACCTCTATTTTCCCCTCTCCTACCAGTACACCTTGCCTTCCACACAGGAGGTTTCTCAGCGCTCAGTGTTTATTTTGCACAGGCCAAACAAAGCTTTGCTCAAATGCTGGCTGCCTGATAGAAAGCTAAGAGAGCTCAGCTCTTACACAACACTCTGCAAGCATCGGCAAGTAGCAGAACTTTCTTAGGAACGTGGAGCCTCAGCTTTACATAAGCCACTAATCAGGAGTTACATGCTGTCTTCCCTGTTATGACTGTTTATTAACCAGACGAATTTCATAAGCAGTTCTTCTCTTTGCCCATGGACAAGGAGAGCTTTGTGTAGTAAGGAAAAGACCTGTTTCCTTAGGAGAGCCACTTTTGGGTTTTTTGTCTTGCGATTAAAAGCAAAATTATTTGGATGGGCAAAAACTTGGAGTATAAAAGTGGGGAGTAGAAATGTTTGGCCTCTTTTCACCTATGGCTGTGCAGAAAAGCAGGCAAAGCAGTGACACAGTGCAGAAAAGAAAAAACAGCTCTCCTTTCTAAACACCAGAGGGAGAAGGTACACTGCCCTGGATACTGCAGAACAGCCTTAAAGTCAGGGTTTCAGGAAGCTTTAGAGACAAATGATAGGAAAATTCTTTTTAGCATTTATTAAGTCAGCTTAACAAAACAACTGAAGTAATTAAGTCACCTTCTGATTCTCAGCCACCCATCCATAAGCAAAACCATACCTCTAATGCATTCTGAGCTGTAATATCTGCAAGAAAACACCTCCCCTCTACAGTACTTTACCCAAGCTCATGTGTCTCAGGAAATAGACCCAACTCAGAAGAGGAAGCTGAAGAAGCCACGTGATTTGGACGCAGTCACTTAAATCTGAATCACCCATTCATAGTCCAGCCATCACACTCTGCTGTCTACCAGCCAGCTTGAGAGGTCAGCATGGGTACTCTGACGATCTGTGAGATATTCTTGCTTCTCACTAAAGAAACTGTAATTTGCTTTCAAGGAAGGAAAGAGGGAGGAGTGGAAGATCCCCCTTTCTTTCACAGCCTCCTCAACACATCTGGCACCTTCAGGAAATTTTAGAACATCAACTCAATCTACCCAAGTGAAACATTTTGCAGACATCTGCTCCTCCCCTGCCTTCTCTTGCTTTTCCATATAATTTTGTTCCTCTTTTCATGATAAAAGTGGTAAAGTTGTGGGAAATAAATGCAGGGCTAGCCCTCACAAGGGGCCTGTCAGCTTCATAGCAATCCTGTGTTCTTACTGAGTGAGCTGCTTAACACTTGCATTTGTGGGCTTATTTCTCACAGAGACCAAAATCTCCCCTCTGGGTGCTTAACACACTCTTCCAGCTAAGCACATGAGGGCTCTCAGTTTACAGCTGGGATACTAGACTGGTTCAGTTATCGGATTTAGGTCTTTAAAGAAGTCAGATATATAAAGTCATTCACTCATGACATACTTCTGGATCAGGAACAGGGTAAGTTATGCATGCCACAGGATCTGTGACCTATGGAATTTAAATAACTCTAAACCCCTTCTACCCATGTCAGAGACCAGGGGACAAATAAATGAAGACTTACTCTCTGATAGTTTGGGACCAATATTTGGGTTTTAACAACCCAATGAAAATACTAAATAACTTTTTCTCCCAGTATTTAAGAAATAATTTTTGCTACATGAACAGAGAAATTCTGCAGAGGAATTAAAAGGGACAGCCAATTAGCCTACTTTCAACACCCTCATTATTCCCACCGGAGGAGTCAAACCAATAGCAAAATGACGGTGCCAATTACTAACTTTCATAATTGCACGGCAAAAATAATCTCCTGTCGAAATACAGCCAACTTTAAGGATGTTTTCTGCTATTCTCCCTCCACAAGGATATGGACATGCAAAGATGCAATGATACTTCTGGTCAGCAAGCAGATTCAGGCCTGAACACAGCTTTACTGTCCCTTATTTACAAGGCTGTGGTTTCAGTGAGGGTTGACACAAACACACCACAAAAATTTTATAGGAGATCTTGTGGCAACCAGCCCTCAACATACAACTCCTCAGACTCTGTACTCACAGCTGCCTTAAACTGACATAAATATGTGGTCCTGCCAAAGGGGTCGTGCCACCACCCTCTGCTTCTCTGGTACCAACACCAGGTGCTCATCAGCTGTTTAGCACTTTTGAAAACATAGTAAGGCACCTATTTTCCTTTCACAGAGTGAGGTCCCAGCAGGACTGGCTCCCAGAGTGGCAGTGCCCACACGAGGAAAAGGGAGCACCGTGCCATCCCCCTTCCAGTAGGGTCAAGCCTTATGGTGACAAGCCTTCTGCCTGCTCCCAGACAAGCAGCCCATCCTCACCTCAGGTCTGAAACACCTATGGCAGTGTGGCTCTTAGCTAAGCAGAAGCCTTGGACATACAGTGTATGGAGGTAGGAACACTGGTCCTCCCCCTCTGTCCCACCATGGACCCAGAAGAGATTTTGCCTAATGCCACTGTTCATTCATCAGACCTGCACTTTGAACTGGCACCAAAGCTGTGCTGGCTTCCAGAGAGAGCTTTTGTTTAAGCAGTCTGTCCTTCAGGAGAAGAAGGACCAGCCTGGTGACTCACACATGTACCCAGCACAACAGCACCCTCTGGGCTGAGCAGAGCAAAAGAAGATAAAGCTTCTGCCCTGGGGCTTGCTTGCCAAACAGAAAAGGAGCCACAGAGCACCAGGCAACCAAGAAAGGGGTGTTACAGAGCCACACTGTTTTCTGGTGTCATTTCACGAGTTAAACTAAGGAAAAAGGCCCCAAGGAGATGACTTCTACCTGTCAAAACTATGCTGGATACCCCATAATGGAAAGCCCGGGAACCTTTTTACCCACTCATGCACAGCAAATACATCTGTGCATACTAGCTGTGTTTCCTAGGCTGAGCTGAAAAAGGGAAAGAACAGTTCAGGAATGGAAAACACGGAGCACTGAGACAAGCACACTTCCTTTCTGGCTGAGGCAGCATAAGGAGCTTCCGGAGTGTGTGGGGGGGAAATCTGAGCTGTATCTATATCCACAGAAAGCTTTAGAGCATGGTCTACCAAATACATTAAAGGAAGAAGTTGAACAACATGTGCCAGCACATCATCAAGCTGACCCAGTAGGTTGTATCAGGCAAACTTTTCCTCTTCACCTCTGTAGATGGGTTCAAACCACCAGATCCCATTCAAAAGATCACACAGCATTTAAGAGCCAAAAGACCGAACCCTCAAAACTGTGTGGCAAAAATGAGAGGGGGCAAAAACTAGGTCAGTAGTAAGTGCTGCATGTAACAGAGTAGCCGAGGTGGGAATACAATTACTCCTGCTTTATAGCAGTCTTGTGAAGCCTGAAGGAAAGCAGGAGTCACCAATTCTCCCTTTCCACATGTCCTTTGTGCAAGGGAGCTCTTTCCTCAACTGCGATAAATCAGCTTTGTGGATTTTGATGAAACTGGGCCAGTTCACACTAACGTTAGGATGCAGCCTCAGTTTGCCTTTTATTTTCATGATGCAAACAACCTAAATCCTTTGCTCTGCATTTCATATGTCACAAATAATACCGGTACAATATACAGCACAGAACAGCTGCTATAGCTTTCAGAATACTTATCCACTCAAGAGTTAAAATTCCTGCTTATACAATATAAGAAAACAATATTGTTCTCTTTCATGGCAATTAGATGAAGAGAATTGTTTTTTCTTTGCTATATTTAGATCAAGAGAAAGCTTTGGGATGACACTGACAGCCTGATGTTCTCCCAGGTGTTGGCTCTAGCAATCACTGCTGTTGGTAAATATGAAGAGAAGAAAAAAAAACTCTTAAGAAATCCTAAGTGGTGGGGCCAAAATTAGGAGGAAAGATTACCAGGTTCTTGCCAATAAATAAAGCCAGAACAGGCATGCTGCTAAAATGACAGGGGACTTGGAACACACTCTCAGTGGCTTAAAGAGAACTTGAAAATACCACTCACTTTCAGCCGCAGATCACAAACAATAACAACACAGGAGATAGTATGGGAGGTTGTAAAGATTTGTAGCTTTCTTTCTCCATTTTAGCTGAACACTGCTTTCTTTCGTCCAACAGGAAAGACACAACACATAGCCCCAAAGGGCAATTTTGCTGGCAGAGCTGAAATCAGACCCTCCCCAACAGGGTCAGAAGAATTATTTTGCCAGCATCGAGCCCAAGTACTCTTATCAGCCAACTCCACATCACAGTATAAAGGCACCACAGCCCTGCAGACACACTTTCGCCAGCAAAACCCCAAAGCTTGGGTCAGACTTCACATGCAGGAGCAGCTCCTCACGTTGGTCCTAATCCTGCTGGGGACATCGGAGCCAGCAGGTGCTGGAGGTGACACATTGGGGACACTCAAGGACACTTGTGTTGGGGCTGAGTTCCTGCGTCCTACCCGGCTGGCACAGAGCCTGGGTGCCCCTGCTTTCCCCCGAGGCCCACCACGGGCTGCTGGCTGGCAGAGGACACACAGGGACACACCGGGGCTGGCTCTGCTTCCCTGCTCATCCAAGCGCACGGCCGGAGACAGGGACAACACACACCTACATTTAAAAGAAAAAAAAAAAAAACAACACCCCGCCCCCACACACACCCCCGCCAGGCAGAGATTTTGCAGGAGGCCAGAGGAGACCCTGCTCCCATGCAGATGCTCTTCCTCCCCAGGTGTCCCTTCTAAGGCTTAAAAAGCTGCTGCCGCTGAAGCTGTGCCGGAGGCACTTCCAAACAAAACCCGGGATGGCAGGTAGGGACGCCACCGCCCAGGAGAAATAAACGGACATGTATTTTACGCATGTATGTACAAAACCACATGTGTAAATATAAATATTTTATATATACATATATGAAATACACACCCCAAAAAAGAATATACGTATGTACGTATACACACACACACGTACAGATAGACGCGGCGACCCCGAGACCCCGCGCGAACGACAGGCCCCGGCCCGTGCCGCCCCAGCCGTAGCCCGCAACATCCCCCCGGGGGCGCATCCCGATCCCGATCCCAATCCCGATCCCGCTTCCCCGGCCGGCCCCGCTGTTTACCTGCTCCCGACCCGGCGCGCGCTCCCCGGCGCTCCCATTGGCTCCGCCGCACCCCGGCCCCGGCGCCAGCCGGGAGGGACGGCCTCGCTCACCCATTGGTCGACGAGGCTGTCGTTCCGCGGGTGTCCCCGCCTACGAGCCGCTCTCCCCCAATAGAAGAGGAGAACGGGAGGAGGGTCGGCCAATAGGAAGGCGGCTCTCGCTGGCCGGGGAGGCGGCGTGTGAGGCGGCGGCGGGGCCGCCATAGTGGGGAGGGTGCGGGCGGTGCCCGGGCTTCGGGTCATAGGGAGTCTTAGGATGGTTTGGCTTGGAAGGGACCTTAAAGGTCATCCAGTTCCAACCCCCACTGTCATCGGAAGGGCCATCTTCCGCCAGGCCAAGTTGCTCTAAACCCCAGCCAACAGTTCAACGCTTCCAGGGATGGAGCAACCACAGCTTCTCTGGGCAACCTGTTCCAGTGCCTCATCACCCTCACAGCAAAAAACTTCCTCCTAATATCTAGTCTAAACCTGCCCTCTTTGAGTTTGAATCCATTCCCCCTTGTGCCATCACTACATGCTCTTGTAAAAAGTCCCTCTGTGCCCTTCTGGTAGGGTCCCTTCAGCTGCTGCAAGGCTTAGTGTTTATCAACGCATTCCTTCAGTAAATGAAAAGCTATGCAAGTGTGCAGATCCTGATGGAAATTAGAAGGGATAATAATTAGGTAGAAGTGTGGAGAACTAAATAGAGAAGCCAGAGGAAATGGTCAAAGAATGGTTCTACTAGAGTTGTGCCTGACCTCTGCTCAGCCTTTAGAATAGAGGGGTGAATAAAAGAAAATTACAATTTCACATTTGCTATGGGCGTGAGAAGTTTGTATTTTTAGAATGTAAGCCTTTTTGTTTAATTTTTTTTTAAATTAGCATGATAGTAAGCAAGATAATTCCATAGACAGATGAAAGTGCTCTTCAGTCAGCACACAAAACACTCCTGCCTCTGTTCCCATTGCTTTATCAAGCATCAGTCAAGTAAAATTAAGATTCTGGCAGCTCTGTATCACTTGCTCATCATCTGTGGGGGCAGAGACACGAACTGAAGTCATGGCAATTTCCTTCTGCTGCTGTTGTCATTTAAGGAAGAACCTCAGGCACAAACACAGGGAATATTTGCAGCAGAGCTTCACGCTCCTCTTTGCTCCATTGTGATGATCTTGCATACAAAAGGAATGAAGGGCAAGATGGCAATGAAGGAGACATGAGATACCATAAGTGTACTGCCCCACTATATATCATTGGACAACACGGAATTTTTTGCAGATTCCAAATCTAACTTGGCCATCATGTTCTTTTCCCAAAATTTCCTGCACAATATTGGTGACAAGTGATACACCTTCCTTGTACCTGTAATCCTTATTCTGAACTACTCTGCACACAGAAATAAGTTACATGTAAAATTCTTCAGAGCCTCAGAGAGCTGTCTATCCAAGCATGGCCAGCTGGCCTTTGCCAAGGTAAAGTCAGTCTGGGAAAATTGATAAATTGTGTGCTTGGCTGTGTTCTTCACTAGCAGATCGTCATAGCTTTTCTAACACTTTTCTCTCAAAACTGTGTCTACCTTTGGTCTTTGTACTGAGCTGTTGAATACCTTTTCACTGGACACTTGATCCAGTGATCAGCTCACTTGTGCTGGAGATTTTTTAAGTGGGAATTTCTCTGATTAATTTAATCCTTCATGCGTTGTATGCTTAGCTGGTTGTTAAGTTTAATATCAGGAGAAGGAGCAATTTTGGTTGCACTCAGCTTTACCCACAACCAACAGTTGTTTTACACCTCTTTACTTTTACATGGAGCTTACGTATCTGACACAAATTTGAGATGATAGTAAAAATATTTTTCTGTTTTAAAGCATTTTACAACTTCAAAGCCAAAGCACTGATGGTCTGAACTGTGCTGCTTTTCACCTCACCAGTCTAGTTAAGCCTGCCCAGAGTAATCACTGAGCCAGCAACATGCACATTTCCAGTAAAACCCCTGATCTGTGGAGGAGATAGGGAAATTGTTCTTAGGCTCCTTCTTCTAGGGGCTGAAGGGGTGGGAACTGGTTTTACAAGCCCAGTTGCCCTTTATCAGCACCTTTAGAGGCTAAACTTGCAGCTTTTTGTATCTCTTCAAAGTGCTGCTCTGTTGTACGAAGGGCTGTGGAAAAGATTACATTGACATGAACTACAGAGGTCTCTGCCTGAAATTTAGAGGTAAATTCATTGTTTGTTTCCACATTCTCACTAGATCCCCTCTTTTGCTCTCACCCAGATGAATAAGTGCAAAGAGGTGTAGGTCTTGTGCAACCTAGCCAAGGATTTTAGGAAAAATTACATGTATTGCAACCTTCATGAAAGTACACAAACTGATAGCACTGGGGCTGTGGGTATGTGAAACCCAGCTGTCTTTCTGAGAATTCATATCCTGCCTGACTCCTTTGTAGTTTTCAAAGGCAAAAATCTAGCTTAACTCAGTGTTCCTTTTCTATACCCTAAAGTGGGTTTAGGAAGACAAATAGTTGTTACAGTCTCTTTGTCTGATGAGTGTTTCTTCCTTGCAACTTTCAGTCAGAATACCCCTTCACATGTTTTTTTCCCACCTGCATCACATGAGGAGCATTTGACCTGAGAGCAATTTAAAAGGCTCTTTGAGCAAAGCCCCACTGTATCATATGGCCATCAAAAATATTTCTGCTTTTTTTCTATTTCAAACAGATCTGTGCAGTCATTTTCTTAAAGGATCTTTCACAGATAATGTAAAATATGTCTGTTCCTAGGAAAATCCTGTGACAAGCTGCATCACAGCTTCGTGATGTGGGAGGTCAGTGTGTCTTGCCAGGCTGGTGGTTGTTCTGAAGTACATAGGGACATTCTCTGGGATTGCCCTAATGTTCTCCATTTCGTTACTGAGATGTTTACAGTAGGAAATCTCAGGGAGATTTTGGTCATAAACTGTTGCAATCCTCCAAACATATCCAAGGAATTGTGACTGGTTTATTTCAGGAGACATAAATAATACCCGGAAATAGATTACTGACACAAATTCAAACAGAGATGCTCCCTTGACTTTTGAATGGAAACAGACATGAATCCATCTGTCAAAATAACATTAAAACCTCTTGTGCTTGCACAGAAGATTTGAATAGGGTCAGGCTCAGCGTATCTGAGGTTTTGTGCTAGAATAGACAGTACTTTCCAAGAGTCTTGCTCAATTTATTCCACTCTGCAGATCTGCAGAGCCTTAAGGAAAGGTCATTAGAGAATACCAAAGCAAACATTTTTCTCATAACTGAAGGAGATCTGCTAATTCATGAAATGACTTAGCAAGCATCCAGGGCTCATGACGGAGTGCCACCTGTGGGCAGGAATCATATATTGGTGTCACACTTCTGTGTGGATTTTTAAGGTGTATCCTTGACACCTTAGATCCAACTAGACAGTTCAGACTTAAGCTCCAGTATCAAAAAGCACTGTATATCCTTCTGTCTAAAACAGAGCTAAGTACAGATCCATAGTTCCCTAAACTGTAGATTATGGATCTGACTCTAGGAAGCACACCTCCGTCGTAAGGGGATACTAATCAGTTGTGTCATGCACAGACCTGAGATCATTTCACGGTCCATTCCTTCCAGGTCTACAGCATCACAGAAGCTCTGCAGATTACTGCTTTCTAATGGATGTAGAAATGAGCTAAACATGAGATCTCTCAAACAGACAAGGCCACGGTGGTGGGAAGGTTACAGGAATTAAATCTGGTGAAGTGTGCAGTTACAAAGCAGTCAGTGATGCATCCAACTCAGTGGAATGCCACATGTCTTGCTTTTAAGCACAGGTCCTTTGCAGGCCCATCAAGCAGGACCAGGACAGCTCCACTGGGAGTGCCCTTTGCCTGCCTGGGAGCAAAGCTCCTGATGCCATGGTGCCCTCTGATCCACTGGCTCAGACAGCTTCTCCTGCCTCCTTATGTACATGTTCTGTACGGTTTTGCTAAAGAATCAAGTATCCGTTTAGGAGACAAATGCACCAGTCTGAAGACCAGTAGTATGCTTTTAAGGTTGTTGATAGCTCTTTGGCTTTCTGGATCTTGGGACAAATCCTTCAGGCAATCCCAGCCTCTGAGCAATTAGCAGACCTCTTCATGTGACTTGGAAAACTGTGAGTTAACACTACTCTGCTCTGTTTGAAATCAATGACAAATCAATAATGACCTTAACTGAAATGAGTTCAGTCTTTGAAAAAAAAAGAAGATAAATGTCTAACATCTTTAAACATGCACATGACAGGAAAAAAAAAAAAAGAGAGAGAGAGACAGAAAAAAGTTCCCCATGAGATGAATAATTGTATAATTTACTTGTGCCTGTTGCTGTCCGTGGTGGGGGGACGTGAATAAGGAATGTGAATTATACATTAATATCCAAATAAGTCCTTCCCGGTTGTATTTGAAGGGGATTCCCCCTCCACTACCTGTGAAGGAGAGTCTCCCTGTGCCCACTAGGGGACAGAGCTCTGCCGCGCACGTCCTGTCCTCGGCAGCGGGATGGGCTCTGACATCTGCAGCCCGAGCTCCGGCACGCTCTGTGATAAGCCTTTCAGGGGATTTTTATTGCAATCAGCTCTCCGCGAAACACATTAGCTGCTCATATAGCCCTCTCTGGAGAATGTATCTGTGAAATGTCTCGTGTTGCAAAGCTTCTGACATTACCAGAACGATTGTTTTGAAGCTACGTCCAGGCTCTTCAGGCACTCAGGTAGAGCCCAGCTTGTCTTTGCTGTAACAGTTGTATGATGACCAGTGTTCCCATTGCTAGACCTACAGCTGCAGCAGCATGGGCAAGAAAACCAAGAGAATATAGGCAAAAATATATTTTTCACTTCCCTAATGGATCTGGGGGAAAGTGTCGTATTTTGATTTTTGTTTAAAAGAAGCACAAGGTTTAATTACTTTCTGTTTCTGAACTTCTCTCATGTGCTCATGTTGAGTTTTCCAGAATCCATTGTCCTATTTCTGCAAGCTTCTCTGCACAGAAGCACTTAGAATAGTTTATTTTAGTAACT